TGTGTCAGATGCCACCACCACGTTGGGCTCAATTTCCACCTGGTCTCTCAGCCTGCCTCTCTCATTTTTTCAGTTCTTTCAACTTACTTTCTGCCTCGGGTTGAATTATAAGTTCCGCCGTATTTCTTCCGATTAAGGATGAGAGCAGCAATTTCTGGCACGTAGCGCGCAAACATTGCCTACATGCATGAAAGAAAAGCAAAAACAAAAAAGAAAAGAAAAGAAAAGAAAATGGCATGCAGAGAGTGTTCTGCTGCACCAAAGCCAGCAGACCTCCTCGGAATACTTACTTTCTTCCACTAACCGCACTATAGGAACCACCATATTTCTTGCGGTTTCCTATTAATTCTATGATTTCAGGGACGTAACTGGCAAACATGGCCTAAGGAAGAAGACAGGAGACAGAGAAAAGACTAAAAAGAGAGGCCAAAGGAAGGGGAGGGTGTGATGAATATTATAAGAAGGTACATCATCCTTACGATCTGAAAATGCAAGACATAGGTCTATCAAGTCTTTCCTCAAAAAAAGATTGTAAAAAGTCGTCGTCTCAAAACAAGAATGTTTGGAGTCAGTGTTGGTCTTTTAAAGGGACCCATCTGGTCAGCTACAGAAAATGGTCAGAAGAGGAGACAGAAATGAAAAATAATGCCAAAAAAAAACCAAAAAACCAAAAAAAAAGCCCCAGTACAAGAACAAAATTAAGTCAAAGTGGCATTCAAGGGATAAAATAGTGTCATAGCTAGTATTTTCGGAAAGGGGTGAGTGGAATTTTCCGAAGATTATTTACTGTCCAAACACCCCACAAAGCCAAAACAAAGCAAAATGTCTTTACTGCTACTGGTGCTTGCATTATTTTAGAGAAGACAGATGAGTTTTTTCCCCCGTTCGCAAAGATTACAAAACAGAAGCAGAGTGGGTTTCTACACACGTGAAAATGAACATGATGTAATTTTGCTTTTAAGTTCATCTTTTTAAAAGTTGGGTAAGAACATGTAAGGATGTAAAAGGAAAAAAAAGGCAATGAGGAGAAAAAAAATGGATTCTGCCATGTTTTGTCCAACAAACATTTTGCTTGTGGCCGGATGCTTCGAAGAGCTGCTGCCATTAATGTTGGCCTCAATATCTACCTTCTTTGGAAATGAATGAAAAAATACAAAAATGTTGAGGTAAAACTACAAAAAGGAAAGGCGTGTGTGTATGTGTGTGTATGGACACCTTAATGGCTTTTATGACTGTACTATATAAATATACAAGTGTTTACACATACACACATATGCACATCTCTGCACACACACATACACACACATCTTGGGCTGAATAAGTCACTTACCTTACATTTCAACCCTACCACTGGTTGCTTTTTAACACAAAAATGCAGTAGCTTTTATAGAATTGTTACTTGTGATTTTAATTGGGGGATATTTATATTTTTATTGTTTTTATTATCTTGTTTTTTCATTGTAAGCCACCCAGAGTCACCCTCTGGGGGAGACGGGCAGCATATAAATTTAATAATAATAAAAAAAAAAAATAGCTAGCTAGCTGTCTGGATGCCTTTGGCACTGAGGAAAAAAAAGTAGGCAGTTTATTTGGGGACAACAGCTCTCTAACACTTGGGTCAACTTTGTTCAGTTGACCCAAGTCAACTTATTCAGCTCTTTCAGCACCAAGCAGGAGCATCTGCAAGGGGGTCCAAAGAGTCAAGGTGACGGTTGCACCCGTGCAAAGTCCTGCTCCTTGGTTAAGTGCATCCTTTAGGTTTTGATCATCCAACTAATATCCCAACTTTCTTTTACTCTCCCTGCAGATTTCTCTGCATCAGAGGAGCATTATTTGCCGTTCTGTTAGGAAATTTGTAATGACTGCCTACTATAGCCTCTTACCTAGTTGCTATTAAGAAGAAGGAGAATTCGCTTTTCCCATGGCCTGGGAAAAGCAACCCAGGCAACAGCTCTTTAAAGAGATCCTAAACCACGGTGTTTGTTGGAATTTTGGGAAGGAACACAGAAGGGAAGGGAAGGTTCTTGAAACCGCAACTAATTTCACCTGGACTATTACCTTCAGCGCAATATTAACCACTAGTCCCAGGGCCTGTGCACGCTTTCAAAATAATTTCAATGGCATACTTTGGACCTCGTGCCACTGCAAGGCCAACCTCTCCCTGCTTTTTGTTAAAGCTTCTTTTTCTTTCTTTTTTCCTTTTGGGTTTCAGCTGCGCCTCAAAAAAGTTGCGCTGCTTTAAGGAATTTCCTCACTCGCGTTGACCCTCTTTTGAAAGCAGCGGCGGATTTTCTCAGGGATGCTCGGAAGCGCACAAAAGGTCAAGCTGGTTTCATGAACAGCAGAAGAGCTGTGAGGCCCAAAGGACCGTTTCCAAATGATTTTCAAAGCTTGCACAGCCCTTATCCTCACTTAATGCTGCAAATTCTTAAAAGCCCTTTCCCTCTCTGCAAGCATTATTTCCTTAAGTATGCTATTGTTGTCATATTTTAATTCAGTAAATAGCTCTTCAAAATGCAATAAGGGGATATGTATTTTGAAGCCGTAAATTAGGGTATAATTGTTACATTAAAAAAAAAAGGCAGAATATAACATAAATATTTTACCAATCCCCCTAGGATGAAGAAAACCATGAAAAGACGACCAAGTGTTGTTTTTGCATAAACATCTCCATAGCCAACCGTGGACATAGTAACCATTAGCAAATAAACACATTCCCAGTATGTAAGCGCTTGGTTATTTTGGAAGTTTTCCCAAGGATCCCCTGAGTTCTCCACCTATAACAAAAGGATAACAGCAAATAAATATTTCATATTCTACAATGCAAAAGAGTTACTTTATTTCCATTCATGAACCTGAAGGTACATGACTAATATCTTGGCAGGAAAAAAATCCGACTCAGATATAATCTCCTTGAACAGCCAGAGCCAAATTCTCTTTTTAGCAAGGGAATACTTGTAATATTTCATGCAGCTCTTATGATGTTGAGTGCTCCAAACCTCAAGAACTCAGTGGACTGGAGTAAAGAAATGATTTTCTTTATATAAAATCAGTTAGGTTATATAGCAGTTGGAGTGATCCAAATACAGAATCCCATTGTGGAAAAAAAGTTAGGAATAATCCTAAAGTAGTAACCATTGCTAAGGATAAGGGAAGAACATGATAACCGACTTAAATTTCTAGGAGCACAGGATAAAAATCTAATAACTGATAAACTATGAATGCATTAGAAATATACAACTATGTCTACATATATCTGACATTTAGGACTACGTGTGGTGGTGGATTCTAGCAGGGGTGGTCAAGAAAGTCAAGACGGAGTCAATGACCACACAATTGGGCTTCAATCATGTGGTTATAGCTGTCATATTTGCTTTTTCTGGTGCTCCCCCCTCCTCTCAGACACACCTGTATTCCAGTCCATAGAACTTTGTGGAAACTACTCTTTCGATCAGTCCCCAAGGAGTCACAAAATTCCTCCCTGTTACAGCAGCAAGTAGCTACCGCAATAACTGTCACTCAAGACAACCCCAAGTAGAGGAAGTATGAATTGATCCTCCCCAATTCAGGAGTCTGGCAGGACCTATTTTCAAAGAGTAGTTCAACAGCACCTTGGGGACCTAAACCTCTCTGTATCATTCCAATTTTAGTATATGTGCTGCTGAAGTGAGCAAGGGGACCTAATTCTCAAAGAAGGACAGGATGTGTTAATGTACTTTAATTCAAGCAAGCAACACTGTACACTCATTTTCAGGAAAAATGAGCATTGGGTGTGTGTACTGCAAGTAATAGTAATATATAAAGTTCTTGATATTTTATAAGAGGCTGTCTTGTATCTGATACCACATTTTATTTTTTGTTTCTAAGACCACACTGCCACTTAGTGGCTTGTGGTTGTTATTGTCAAATTCAGTCAAAGTTCTCCAGAATTACAAAATCAGAGCCAAAAATCTTCTGGCTTTCTCTTCCAGTAGTTATTGTTTTCAGGCAAAGCAGCTGTGGGCTTTGAACACCAAAGAAAATCACGGTATTTCATGCTGTTTTCTCCTTTTCCCCTCTTAGACGAATTTCTCCCTGAGAGGGAAAAGATGCTATCACTAACTATACCTAGTAATATTCAGAGGAACTCAAAATGCTCCTATTACGTTTTGCTGAACAGCAACACATAAGAGATTTGCTGCGTTAGATTAAACCACCAAAAGTGTGGAAGAAACCCATAATGCATTTTTTTAAAACAATTATCTATAGCTAGATTAGTTCATAATAAATGTAAAGCTTCCCAAATAAGCATTTTCCAGGCATACTTACCAAATGTATAAATCCAGCTGCTGTCAGCCATGTGCTAATAAATATTGAGCACAGATTCACTAACTTGATGGAATTACTGGTTGAAAGAAAAGGAGAGAAGCAAACAAATTCTTCTCAGAGTTTGTTTTACTGAAACATTCCCCAGCTTTTTCAAACCTTTCTTCCTGAATATCCATAAACCCATCCCTCCAACTGACAGGTCAGTTTCTCAGCATTAAAGAATCATACTGCAAAACAGGTTCAACATCCCTTTCAATAAACAAAAGACATATGTAAAATAGGAAACAGTTGAAAATGTAAAGAAACGAACCGGTCATAAGTCTCAAATCTTGAGTGCTTTACTGGTGGGAAAAAAATGTGTCTATGAATGAACAACAACAGCTCATAATATTTAGGAAAAAGATCTACTTGGTGTTTTCTGGCACCCACAGCTAAAAGGAAGCACCAAGTCAATCTTGGCTCATCTTAAAAAGCCAAATGGGGTTGGACCTTTTGGATGGGAAACAACCAGGAAATCCCAAGCTAGATGGGAATTCAATTAAAAAAAAAAAAATCCCCAAAAGATGCAACAGGAAACCACTTCTGTATTATTGCCAAGAAAACTACATGGATCTCTCCATGTAGAAAAAGTTATAGCAGATGAGAACACTGCGGTTGACCTTGAAAAGCTGAGCAGGGCTGGAGCTGGTTAGTACCTGGATGGGAGACAATCAAGAGTCCTAGGATTGGAGTCTTTACAGGAAGTTAGAAAAAGTGAAAGAAGGCAATGGCAAACCAGCTCATACTCTCGCCCATATGGAGGTGTTTCCAACACCCGCACACACACAAATGCAGACAAATTTTCCAGATTCTGCCCAGAGCGGTCGGTGGTGTATTTTGCCAGAGAATGTAGCCAACTTCCAAAATGAAATTAGTGCTATGGGGACTTGATAGTTGCAAAGCACGTCTTCTCAAGCACTGAAAACACTTTCACAATTTGAAACCTTTTGGCATTTTTCCTATATTACATACACTTCATCTTTAAGATTAACTTTAATACTAATCAGCAGTGTATTGTATGACATTGTGTAAATATGTTCTGTTGGCCAGCTCTTGCATCTGTTGAAAAGATGCTCTCTGCTGAACATTGTTGCCTCATGCTGTGATATTGATGTTCTAAATATTTCATGTACGCATGAAAATGATTTTGTCATCATCATTACCATCATCATCTTCATCTAATCATTACTGTTCCTGATTCATGAAAAGAAATGTGACATCTTGAAATGGACACTGATTTTTTGTTTCAATAGCTTTTTTTGTTTGTCTGTTTTTAGCTGACACAGGATTATTCAGAATGACTTCCTGCCTTTAAAGGAGAAGATTTATCTTTTGTCTTTTCAGCCCCGAATCTAAAAATAGGCGGATTAGTTGCCATTATTATTATTTTTTTCCTGCTCTTTAAGCTGTTGGAGACATCTGTGCTGTCCCTAATTCTGCTTGAGCCCAGCCTAACCCCCTGAAGTTTTAGTGAATCCTCATTTAATTCAGGAAAGGATAAAGCAAAATAAGGGGATAAATAAATGTAGCAAGTCAGAATAGGGGGAAAAAAAGACTGCCTCCTGAAAAATATGTGTAAATAGGATTCAAATACACATACTTCAGAGGATTTTAAAGATTAATATACAATTGAGACCAGAGGTCTTTCTTTTGGGACTGATGGAGAAACAGTTGGAAAAAGGTCATGGAACTTTATTTTTGTATATGATAACTGCAGCAAGATTATTGTATGTAGAAAGATGGAAAGATTTGGCAATACCCCAGAGGATTTTAAAGATTAATATACAATTGAGACCAGAGGTCTTTCTTTTGGGACTGATGGAGAAACAGTTGGAAAAAGGTCATGGAACTTTATTTTTGTATATGATAACTGCAGCAAGATTATTGTATGTAGAAAGATGGAAAGATTTGGCAATACCCACAATGGAGGAACAGTTGGTAAAGATGATGGAACTTGCTGAGTTGGCTAAACTGACTTCCTTGATCAGAGAAAAGACAATATCTAGGCTTATTGCTGACTGGAAACCCCTCATGGACGTTTTGTGTAAAATGGAAAAAAATGAGCTTATGATTTATGGTTCTGATGAGTAGACAGGATAGATTTTAGAAAGAAGAGAGAGATGTAACTTTAGAGAAAGAGGTAAATTTATGATTGTACTTATAACTGCAGTAAAGATCAGAAGCCACTTCTCTGTATCTTTTTTCTTTCTTTTCTATTTTTCTTTTTCTTTCTTTCTTGCACTTTTAGTTTTCTCTTTGATTTCTTTTTCTTTTTTCTCCCTTACTTTATATTAGTTTGTATTAGTTTTTACCTTTGGTTTTAAAACTTTTAATAAAATTGCAGTTGTAGCTGCAGACGCACTTCCTAAAATAATTGAATTTAGCATTATTAGGACCCCATCAAGTAGATACTTGGAAGCAAAGCTTACTTGGTAAGAGAAGAAGTGATGTGCAAATGAGCCAACAGCCAGTTATTAAGAGTACCATCTTCCTCAGCCTTAGTCTATTTACTCATACCCTAAGATAATCAGGACAAATGTCAATTATCTGACCATGGTTATACGTGTATGGATTCTTCTTTATCTCAAAAGAACTACTAAAGAAAAGTAATCATTTCTTTAGAGGAACATATAGCAATAAGTTCTTTTCATCTGCAGAATGCAATAATTGATTTTCTAAAATAGTATTGTCAGTAACGCTTCCCAGGGGTGTCGGCGGGGGGACAAGCACCCATTTAAAAGGGGCCAAGTTTGGATCATACAGTTGTTGGCCACCATCTTGACTTGTTACAACAATGCAAATCCTCTGGCTACTTTGTCATTTCTTGTTTTCTTCACATGCTCTAAAGCAAGGAGAGAAGAGGAGAAAGAAAAATCAAAGAAAGGACATTTTTCTGGTGGTTTTAGAATGATGGAATAGAGAAGCGTATTTCCATGTGCATGTGTATTTTCAGGTGCTGGGATAGTACTCAGGAATATGATACAAAAATAGTGAAATGATCTTGCATTTCATGACATGGTTTTGCAGGCTGGCTTTTGACAAGTGGACAAACAGAACCGAGGAACCAGAGCACTTTGCTGACCTTCGAGAACAGCTTTGGCCCGTGTCATTTAAGTTCTCCTTATTGAGGGAGGAGGTGTTCTTCAAAAGAGAAGGACCAGTTGGAGACACCAGTGAAAACAGGGCCAGTTGGACTTCAGAGGAACAGATTCAACCCTGCTCTTCCTTTTTTTGTCTAGTTGCCTTACCACCATCCAGTTTTGACCCACTTCTCCAAGGCAGCTATTTATTTCTTTTTTGCTGCCTAGGCTAGAAGCAGAGAGGGGAGCATCTCTTTGTATATCTGTGTACTTGTTGATTCTCTGTGTGAGTGGTCGGTCCAGCAGGGACACACAGATGGGGAATCAACATGTTAACCTAATCCACAGCTATGAACTCAAATAAAAAAGAACTCAAATTGTTCTTTTTGTGGTGGGTCCAGGTATTCCCATCCATACCCGAGCATACCACGCGCACACATTTATTGAGGGGATTAAGATTTCTGTCTGCATGTATACTTTCTTTTTTCCCCACTGTTTCATCTTCTTTTATAGAAGTAATTGTCTCAAATTTAGGTTAGTGAGCCTTTCTACCAGAAAAAAAAACAGTACTTTGGAAATTTCAGAATGGATGCCTAATACATGAAACTTAAGTGTTGTAAATCAAAGTATTCAGCTATGAGCATAAATCATATAATTTTGCACAACTTCATTTGGTGCACCCATTGTGCCCCTTTCTGAATTGGGCAGCCCTCTAGACAGTCACTCATGCCTTTGGCATGACACAGCTAGACTACTGCAACGTGGTTTATATGGGGCTGCCCTTGAAAACTACTTGGAAGCTTCAACTGGTTCAGAGCACAGCGGTGCAAGCATGGCACATGACATCCCTGCTTCATGAGCTGCACAGGTTGCTAGATTGCTTCCAGGTGTAATTCAAGGTGCTGTAAAAGTGCTATAAAGTCCTATGTGGGATAGGGCCTGGTTACTTGAGGGGCCATATCTCTCCTGTGGTTTCTGGCTGGCTGGTAAGAGTCAACAGAGTGGGTGTGGTCCATAATACAGTTTCACCTTTTTGGGGCCCAGGAAGCAGACCTTCTCTGTCACCACACATGCCCTCTGGAATGAGGTCCCCCCAAGATCCATATGGCTCCCACCCTGTTGGCATTCTGGAAAGCCTTAAAGACTTGGCTGTTCTGACAGACAGACAGACAGACATATATTCTGACGTAGGCGTCTGGATTTGCCATGTTGTTTATTTCCCATATTGTATTTTTATTTATTTTGTTGTATTTATGTTGTTTCATATTGTGAGTCACCCAGAGTTGGTCTGGAGTGGGACAGCACT